TGCTGGCTCAGTTACTCTGGCTCAGTTACATTGGGCTCAGTTTTGCTGGGCTCAGTTACTCTGGGCGCAGTCCTGCTGGAGTAAGACTGGGCCCGTGCGCTCTCTGGAGAGCCATACCGAGCGCTAACGAGCGAGTTAACGAGCTGGGCTTTACTGCCCTGACCAAGGCCCCTCCTGTAGGAGGACTCTTGGTGTGGCCGGGCCTGTGACCTTTGACCCAGGGTCCCCCGAGAGGTGACGCGCAATTGGCCCTGTGATGCCCTGGTGTTGCAGAGGGGGGTTGTGGGTCTGTCACGCCAGGGTCCCCGTGACCCTTGCCCCGACCTTTGACCCCCCACACAGGGGGCGGGAGCCAGGATCCCCAGGGTGAAGGGTCGTTTATCCCACCCTAGTGCGCCCCCTCCGGAACTGGGGCTCCTTCCCGCGTTTCAGCGCCCAGGGTGTCCTCCGGGATGCAGCTGTCCTCCTGGACGGGGCTGTCCTCCAGGACGGGCTGTCCTCCGGGACGGGGCTGTTCCGGTGGACAGGGTTGGGGCTGGAGAAGCTCACTGGTGGAAGGCTGGGCAGGGGGCACGGAGATTGGACTGGACTGGACTGGACTGGACTGGACTGGACCGGTCAGAACCCTCGCGCACACACACACTCTCTCCTCGTCTGTGTCCATGTCTCTCTGTCCCTCGCCCTCCGCCTGTCTCCCTGCTCTCTGCTCTCTGCTCTCTGCTCTTCCTCCTCCCTCCCGCCCTCCCACTCCTGTCCAAGCCCAACAGCTTCCTCCTGTCACTCATGGCTTGGTGGCACATGGGCTTATCTCTGTCTCTCCTTCCTCACCCTCCTCCTCCTCCTCCACCCTGCTTTCTCTCTGTCCTGCGCTTGCTGTCTCTCCTTCCTCACACTCCTCCTCCTCCTCCACCCTGCTTTCTCCCTGTCCTGCGCTTGCTGTCTCTCCTTCCTCACCCTCCTCCTCCTCCTCCACCCTGCTTTCTCCCTGTCCTGCGCTTGCTGTCTCTCCTTCCTC